CCCAATCTAGAACTGGACTTTGCAGCACAGAGCACATGGAAGGGCGACGCATTTCAAACTACAAAAAAAGAAAAATTCCCAGCTCAACTTACCAACCACCCTGCAACCAACTGAATTGTCCTGTCTAGCAGTATGCGTTATAAACAGGGTTTTAGTGTGCCCACATTTGCAAATACATGCGTAAGCTGCAGAGCCTCTTCACGGCACCCCAGTATTTTCTGCAGTCCTAACTCTTTAATTTTGAGAGCCTCCATAGTAGAAGCACATGAATAATAATGGACAGACTGAGGGCAGGTTAGCCGTGAGGGAGCCCACCCCTCCTTAAAGGCACAGGGGTGCACTGTACACCCAGCATATAGTACAGTAGCAGCTAAGGTGTCCAGTGCACCCCTCACCACCTCACCCTAATGTAGCTATCCTTTGCTTCAAGAACAGATGCATGTTGCCGTTCAGTTAAAGAGGAACTTCACGCCCCCCCATTTTGCCCTCCTCCTTTTAACTTTTTTTTGCTGGGTTATCCACATAACATATACTCACATGCTCAGTGAATCCAGCAGTGTTCTGTAGGGATCCACTACCACACACCCATCTGTCATCATCTTCTCTGCCATCATCAGAAACCAGTTTCCTCTTCTGGGCTCTTGCAGTCAGCCCCCTGATGACACGTGTGTGTGCTGTGACGTGTCATCAGGGGGCTGGCTAAAAGAACCATGAAGAGACAACCAGCTCCTGATGATGTCAGAGAAGATGATGGCGGATCGGTATGTGGTAGCCCCGATGATGTTAGGAAAGATGATGGTGGACTGGTGTGTGGTAGCCCCAATGATGTCAGACCGGTGTGTGGTAGCCCGGGTGATGTCAGATGCATGTGTGGTAGCCCGGATGATGTCAAATGCATGTGTGGTAGCCCGGATGATGTCAGAGAAGATGATGGTGGACTGGTGTGTGTGGTAGCCCTGATGATGTCAAAGAGGATGATGGTGGACGAGTGTTTGGTAGCCCTGCTGATGTCAGAGAAGATGATGGTGGACGGGTGTGTCATAGCCCTGATGATGTCAGAGAGGATGATGGTGGATGGGTGTTTGGTAGCCCCAATATCGGAGAAGATGATGGTGGATGGGTGTTTAGTAGCCCCGATGTTGTCAGAGAAGATGATGGTGAATGGGTGTGTGTGGTAGCCCCGATGATGACAGTGGATAAGTGTGTGGTAGCCTTGATGATGTCAGAAGATTATAGTGGAAGGGTGTGTGGTAGCCCCGATGTTGTCAGAGAAAATGATGGACAGGTGTGTGGTAGCCCAGATATTGTCAGAGATGATGATGTCAGAAGGGTGTGTGGTAGCCTTGATAATGTCAGAGAAGATGATGGTGGACGGGTGTGTGGTAGCCTGGATAGTGTCAGAGATGATGATGTCAGAAGGGTGTGTGGTAGCCTTGATAATGTCAGAGAAGATGATGGTGGACGGGTGTGTGGTAGCCTGGATGTTGTCAGAGAAGATGATGGTGGACGGGTGTGTGGTAGCCTGGATGTTGTCAGAGAAGATGTTGGTGGACGGGTGTGTGGTAGCCTGGATAGTGTCAGAGATGATGATGTCAGAAGGGTGTATGGTAGCCCTGATAACGTCAGAGAAGATGATGGTGGACGGGTGTGTGGTAGCCCTGATAATGTCAGAGAAGATGATGGTGGAAGGGTGTGTGGTAGCCTGGATGTTGTCAGAGAAGATGATGGTGGACGGGTGTGTGGTAGCCTGGATGTTGTCAGAGAAGATGTTGGTGGACGGGTGTGTGGTAGCCTGGATGTTGTCAAAGAAGATGATGGTGGACGGGTGTGTGGTAGCCTGGATATTGTCAGAGATGATTATGTCAGAAGGGTGTGTGGTAGCCCTGATGATGTCAGAAGATGATGGTGGACGGGTGTGTGGTAGCCTGGATAACATCAGAGAAGATGATGGTGGGCGGGTATGCAGTAGCCCCAATGATGGCCTGCAGGTCATGTGCTGTAAAGTACCCTCTTGCGATTTATCATTTGAGTTTTATAGGAGATTGTAGGTAACTGTATAAGTAATTATCGCCCAGGCTAGAATTCAAAAGTGTGTGGAGCGTTTCCCCAAAAAAAAGAGCCAGTAAAAAAAATTAGTAAAAAGTAAATAAATGACTGATTTCATAGAGGGGAATGAGTGAAATGATGGGCAGAGAGGGTGATTGATTTAAACAGAGTCTGTCACTTGCCTGTCCATGCTCATAATTTCTATTAACTTATACAATTTAAGCGCATATGTCAGTTACAATAGAAAAGTTCATAGAACTTTTTAAAACTATTTTTTGTAAATCTAAGCTTGGCTGTCACGAAAAAGCTGCTATTGAGGACTTATTTTTCAAAATAAAGATGCCGTTATCTTTGCTTCACTGCTCAGTCACTAACACAGGACAAGCATGCAGCCAGTGAAGTGTCAGGAAGCCTGACTTTTGGATGCAGGATAAGGATGACAGCAATATCAGCTCCCTTGTTTCTTTTTTACCGTGGCCTGTTTGTGGGTGGTATGGGGCTCCGGGGTTATGTGCTTAGTCTTACTGAGCTCATCAGGCAAGATTACAGTCACATGTCACCATACGCCAGCTGCTATTGTTAGGTAATGCCCAAGCACACATACACGAGGCGTTCCTGTTTACCATCCAGGTGAGGTCACATCCAAGTAACCAACACAAATACAGGGCACATAGAGGGCTATCCCAAGGGCCGTTTAGGAAAGCACACGTGTTTATCTCATATAGCAAACATCAATGCTATGTAAAAGCCAAGTAATCCATATCAACGAATCGGCAATCAATTTTCATTCTTTTCATTGCCAATGAACGGTAAAGTCTGGTTTCTATCAGTAATGCGCAAACGGTGGTAAACCTTTTCACTGCCCTGAATTTATCTTGTTCAAGTTGAGTTCTTAACATTCCATCTTCAAATTAAAGATGTCCACACAGGTTAGTGTCATTGTGCAAGCTCTGTATTATCACCTTTAGATCTACCCATACGTGTATACATTCCTCCATCCATTCTAAACTGTGTTGATGAAAGATCTTCCCTGCAGGTTATTGTATTCTGATAGCTAGCATACGCAGCTGTCAAGAGTACCCAAACAGTGATTGATTCTGATACGATGTTAATCTGTTAAGGACATGCATGCAGCCTGCATGCTCAGATGTGGATTTTTGGTGGGACCACACACATTTTTTTTCTACCAGACCCTTCTGGTCTGGTATGTTGTTGTTTTTTTTTTTTTTTTTTTTTTGTAAAGTGGGATTCTCCTTAAAATTTAGAACAGACTGGAAGGACCTTGCATAAATTTATAAAGGTGGAATCCCACTTTTTTCTAACTAGCCCTGGCCACTTGGATTACATGGTCGGTGATTCCCAGCAAGGAATGGGGCCGGGTGATGTCACTGCTTGTTAAGGAAGTAGCAGGAGATGACATTCCCGCTTCCGTAACAACCTTGACAGTGGGAGAAGAAGCGGTCTTATATAGTAGCTGGAGAAAACAAAACCCTACTATATATGATGTTCAGCTTCTGCTGAATGGACTGTTCATCCAACGTGTTGACGAATGTCCAAAAAACTAAAGTCCTAATCAGTGTTTGGACCAAACCAGAGCACATCCCTAGTCACCAGATATCGTGCATGGATCCAAAGAAAATGACCTGTCAATAGCATATGCCCCAACCTGTACAGAGAACCCTGGAGAACTTGGGAAAAAATATTCATTTTGCTAGGTCCTCATTGTTTCAACATAATGCACAGGGGTCTTCAGCACAGGATATAAACATGCTTGCTCAGCTAGTGCAATTCTCTACATCAGGGATTTTCAAACTTTTTTACCAAAGGGCACGTTCACCATTCTTCAGACTTTAGAGGAGCTGGACTGTGGCCAGTGGGAGTAGAAAATGTCTGATGTCTGTAACTATGCCTCATCATTGGAGTCAGTGAGAAGAATAGTGTCATATCGTTGGTGTCCCAATGAATAGTGCTCCACCATTGGTATCCGTGAGAGGAATAGTGTCCCATTATTGGTGTCAATGGGAGGAAGAGTATCCCATTATCGGTGTTAGTGGGAGCAACAGTGTCCTATCATTGGTGTCAGTGGGAGGAATAGCTCCCCATTGTTGCTGTCAATGGGAGGGAAAGTGCAATCATTGATGTCGGTGGGAGTAACAGTGTCCCATCATTGGAGTCAGTGGGAAGAATAGTGTCATGGTTGGTGTCCCAATGAATAGTGCTCCACCATTGGTATCCGTGAGAGGAATAGTGTCCCATTATGGGTGTCAATGGGAGGACGAGTATCCCATTATTGATGTCAATGGGAGGAATAGCACCTCATCATTGGTGTCAGTTGGAGCAATAGTGACCCATCATTGGTGTCAGTGGGAGGAATAGCACCCCATTGTTTGTGTCAATGGGAGGAATAGTGCCCAGTCGTTGATGTCAGTGGGAGGAATGGCTCCCAATCATTGGTGTCAGTGGGAAGAATAGTGCCTCATTGTTGGTATCAGTGGCACAAATTATGCTCCATTGTTAATGTCAGTGGGAGGAATAGTGCTCCAAGGGCTGGATAAAGGCAAAAAAAGGGGTGCATCTGACCCCCGAGATGCAGTTTGGAGACCACAATCTTTGCATAGAACAGTTACATTGCAGTAAGATGATCGGTGCGTACTTAATGTCTTTGAACACTTTAGAACATCATGAACTGATTGTAGGAAGTTAGGCATATAATTTGGAAAGGTGACCTCTATGTAACGGATGACCGAATAGTATAGCAGGTAAACCTGTGGGTGGAAATGCCCCTAAGTACATATTTAGTATGGTACCGTCATGTTGTTACTTTTGTTTTAGTATGCTGGTATTTTATATAGTATGGTTGCTCCTAATATTATTAAACTTATCCATTATGATTTCTTGTAGCTGACCTTCCTCTCCTGATCCAGGGTGAACCAGTTTTGTCACCACGTGGCAGAATGCTTGGACTAACCTCAGATCACAGCTTGAAAGATTTTCCTCCAGGGAAACCCAGTAGAGCCAATATCGGCAATATCTGCAGGAAAACTCGACCAATTGTTTCATATGGTGCCAAGAACCTTCCCCAAACAGGATTCTCACACCTCAGCAGACAAGGGGACGCCATTAACAGTTTGGAGGAGGGATACTCAAGGTGTTGCAAACAGTCTGAGAAACTGCGCTGCGCACTGGAAGCGGTATGTTTCCATTATGTTCATCCTCTCATATTTAGGGAAAGGCAGGAGGGCCATAAATCATGAATTTTTAGCAAAAATAATTATTCAGCAACAAAAATTTTGTAAGAATTAATTTCTGTCTAATCACATTTGGCTATTCTAGCACACCAAAATAATCATTCCCCCCCAAAAAAAAAATCAAGGTTACTTGACCTGAAAGGAAAACTTGCGTTATGGGAAGATTTTATTTATTTATTTTTTTTTTTATGATATGTGACCCCTGTGTGGGCAACTTTGTGCTTGTTATGACTTGAAAATTGAATAAAAAACATTACACAGAAGGGTAACATGCTGAGGGGGGTGGTAGAGGCAAAACCAAATTGGTAAAATGGACATTTCTGCACCCTGGCCCAGCAGTTGGAGTTATAGATACCAAGACTTCACACTATTCGGGGATATATAGATATATATATATATATATATATATATATATATATATATATATATATATATATATATATATATATATATAAATTATACCCTATTTGCCATATTCAGCCAGCAGTTCAGATGAGCTGTTGTTCATCAAATTACACAGACCGTAGAATGAGTCCCATAAGTAGGCACAACTCTCCTTCTCTCGGAGGAGCAACAGGACCATCTGACTTATGACCGCTTTACACAAGATTTTGGGGCATGTCTTTGGGACTTTGTGCCCATTCAGCCAAAACAACATTTGTGAGGTTGGGTACTTATGACACCAGGCTCTCATTTGGCATTCTGATTTCTCAAATGTATTCAGTGGGGTTGAGGTCAGGGCTGTGTGCAGGCCACTTAAGTTCTTCCACCCCAAGCTCTTCAAATCATGTCTTTATGGAGCTGGCTTTGTGCACAAGGAGAAACATCCAAGCTGGAACAGAAAAGGGTCTTAACCAAACTGCTACCACATGGTTGGAGGCACACAATTGCCTAAAGTGTCTTTGCATACTTTGACAGTACCCTTCACTGGAAAGGCGAAGACAAAAACAATCATTTGGTGTGGTGTAAACATATTTTTGGCTATATAGTTGTAGGTGTGATGGCCAGGTGTCCACATAGATCTAAAACAATGATTTCTATCTAACAAAAAAGGTCAGTTTATGACTTCTCAAAAGAATACATACTAAAATTGACCAAAAACAGCTATATTTTCCTTAAGTTGCAGTAATGTAATCATCTGCTCTATTCCAGTGGGAGAATGCCTTGGAAAATTTCTGCAAGGTGGAGTTTTCAATAAAGACCAGTCACTACCACTGCTGCAAGAAGGATGGCGCAGAGAGGAAGACCTGCTTCAGTGATGAGGCCCCAAACCCCAACTATATCAGCTCTGCTCCCTTGCCGGAGATTGGCAGTGCAGACATCCCATCAGTGCCCATGCCCCGGAGCCTGAAACCTTGCTCTCCTCACTCATCTACATGCCAAAACAATCCAGAAAGCAAATACAGGCTTTCAGACCTGGCCTTTCCACCAGGAGAACCAAAATCCAGCAACATCCAGAACATCTGCAAGCTGAGGAAATACCGCCCGCTGTACTCTGACAATGACCTGCCCACAAGTGGGTTCGGGCACTTTGTACGTCGGGCTAAAACCATCTACCGCGTGGAGAACTCATTCAGAAAATGCTGCAAGACTGAAGATGTGGCCTGTGCACACAGCGGGGTCAGTGACACAACCACGTGAAGCACTTTTTTTTTTTTAATATGTCTCTTTATAGAAAGTTTTTAGAGGAAACAAATATACATTTCAAGTTTTATGTAAAAATGTACTTCAAATTTTACAACAAAGTTAACAATACAAAGTAAAGTCAGGTCTGAGGAATGTTGAAACATATTGATCTTGGTAATTGGGCTCACAAAAGACACATAGATGGGGTTATCAAAATGTTTGAGACAGATTTCCCCCACCATCTCACACACCCGCCAAATATGAAATCCTGTTTAATTGTGGCCACGGCATCTGTCCAGCCCAAAATGGCTGCATGCTGTTGGTAGCAAGTTGGGGGCCACCATAACTGCCTGCTTTTACCACTCTCTGGCTTTCAGTGTGAACCATCTCTTAGAAACTTGCTATTTTAACATTAATTTTCAAAACCATTACCTACTCTGTGCTCCCAAGATACCAGGCATGAAAGAGTGCATTGAGCTCAACACCTAGAAAGGCTTTGCCTTATCTTCACAGTATGATGGGAAACTAGAGAACAAGTTATTTTAGATATCTTTTCCAAATGTGCCTTTGGTTTGGAAACTTTGAGCAGGAGGACATCAGGTAGATCCAGTAGAATGTAAATTTGATATCTAAAAACATAGATACCTGACGCTCTAGGGCTCCTCTGAAAACCTTCAAGCGCCACATGACTTTCACCAACTTGTCAGGAACATTAAAGTGTCCCATTATAATAGCAATTATGGAGGACCTTTTGTGCGTATGTATTTTTATTTCATTTTTTTGTCTATTTTGTGTCATATAGTGGCAGAAGGCTCTGTCCAAGTTTTGCGACAAAGAGTTGGAAGTGAAGACCAAGCATTATGAATGTTGTAAGAAGAACGACCAAGCCAGTATGATTCGCTGTTTTGCCACTGAGGCCCCATTTCCAGAGTATGACAAGGAGGTGGAGACCCTGAACCTTAGCAATATCACAGAGAGCATCCTGGAGAAGATCTGCTCAGAGTGCAAGCTCCTCACTAAACAGTACGTACTGTTCAGTACATAAGTTGCTAAACCACTCGTAATGCTAACTATTCTTCCAGTGACAGTCCTAGTTCTCAGGACTTGTCCTTGGTAACTGTCTTTCCTAGAAATGTTCCCAATTCTGAACAATGAGCAAAATGGTTTCAAAATGTTACACTTAGTTCTGCCTTTTCATGTTTTGTTGGTATGTGTTGGTGGAGCACTGTACCCAAGGGTAGACTGAAGGTAGATATCACAATAAAATTTCTCTGCCAACCGAGATATCCCAACGGCACCCTGTAGCAGTCTATAGCAGTGGTTTTCAATCTTATTGAGGCCAGAGTCCAGTAGCTTCTTCCAAAACCCTCAATGCCCCCCCCCCCAAAAAAAACACAAAAATCCTCACACAATAAAAGTATGGAAATGCAAAATATATACTGAAATACTCAAAGGCTCTGGATGGGGTTGAGTGTCTTTGTGGAGAGAAGAGGGTTAGGGGACTTTGCAGAAGACTTGGAGGCTCTGTAGGGGATGAGGTTTCTGGGGACACTGCAGGGGGAGTTGAGGGGCAATTATGGCAGGTTGGAGGCATTGTGGTGGGTTAGGGTATCTGTACCTGGTTGTACCCATATGGAAGAAAAATAAATTTGAAATATATTTTTAAAATATTATACAATACTAAACTCTAAATATCAGATAATATTGGTCTATATGACACAACAACCACTCTCAATTGTCAAAAATTATGGTTATGCTGCCACCTTGTGTGGTAAATAACATACTGCAGAATTTGTTTAATTACATTTGCTTTGGCGCTACTCAAAATCAATATTTAACCCTTTGAGGACCGTAAGATTTTGGAACAAAAAGAATCAATTTTTTTGTTTTTAAAGTTCGTACACTTCAGTATTTCATGAAATAATTGGCAAAAAGCTAGATCCATTTATTGTTTGTTGATAAGAACTAATATTTTGACTCAAACCAAAAAAAAAAAAAAAAAAATTTTTTCTTAATCAGATGATACACGCAATTAAAAACCTGGGACAAATACGTCCCTTGGTCCTCAAAGGGTTAAACCGTGAATAACCCAACTCTGCACTTTATAATAAACTGTATACTGTGAATTTATTGTGCAGTTTTATTGATGCTTTTGTTTACTTAGTCTATGAAGTACTAGTATGCTTTCACAAATGGTCACCATCCATTCAAAAAGAGTGTTATCTTTTTTTATTCTCTTTGCATTTATTCTGATCAGCTTTGGTATAATAATAAAACACCCCAAACTGCTCTGTGCTTTGGTGCTCATAGGCATTAGATGGTAGTTGGCCAACAACGGACAGACCAGGACATGATTTAATGTCAATGGGGCACTGCTGGTTGGGGGCTCATCCGGGAGAGAAGGGAGCTGACAGGTTAGATAAACATGTCCACTAAAAGGTGCATGCAAAAGTATTTCTCAACCCTGCATCCTGGATTCTCCAAAGAGATATATGGGAAATGTAAAGCAGTGATAACAATAGCTAGGCTAAAAAAAATAAATGTAGGATGTCATGCCAAGTCTAGGACAAGTGCAGTGATCCTGCTGAAGATCAGATCCTGCTCCATGCCATCTATAATAGAAGCATCCATGTCAGATGGAAGGTTCATACAAGAAAATTGCAATAAATCATAGACAATCGGCAATACTCTTTGACATCTCGAGATGTAGAAATCTGATTGGACACAACGCATCTCTTAGATTGTAAGCTCCAAGGAGCAGAGCCCTCCTAACCCTCTTGTATTGTTGCTGTATTGTCTCCCGTTATATTATAAAGTGCTGAGCAAACTGTTGGCTATATAAATCCTGTATAATATTACCAGCACTACAGTATCACTTGTAACCGCTTCCTGACCGCCCTATAGCAGAAATACTGCTATAGGGCGGCACGGGTACACAGAATCACATATATATACGTGATTCGCGCTCCCGTGGTTTTCACGCCCCTCCCGGATAGCGTCAGATTGCCCGTCAGTACACCAGTCATCACATTTAACCCCTTGATTGCCAGGAAGACGCTCATGCACAATAAACCTCCATTGCTAGTATAGGGTCTGAATGGATCAATATCTTTGATCAGATGAGCACTATACCAGCATTCACATTAGAATAGCGTCCCCAAAAACGCAGCGTTAGCGAGACCTGCCAGCACCTGTGTTTAGCCCCTACACTTACCCCCCCCCCCCCCTTCTGCCCCAGCAAGTGCAGTGTCAGTAGGTCACTGTCACTTGATACATTGCACACAAAACCGCAGTGTTCGCAGAATCAGGCCTGATCTCTGTTAGCACTTGCCGGTAAATTTTGATGACTCTCATATGCAGCAGAGTGTCAGTACTAGTGCCACGCTACCTTTTGGTGACCTGGCAAGCATCAGCAATCTAGTACATCCTGGTCTTTCACATACCTCTTAGATTGTAAGCTCCAAGGATCAGGCCCTCCTAACCCTCTTGTATTGAACTGTATTGTTGCTGTATTGTCTCCCGTTATAATGTACACCGCTGAGCAAACTGTTGGCGCTATATAAATCCTGTATAATAATAATTTTACGCAGTTTGTACTTTTCATTCTTATACATTACATGGTCTTATTAAATGGGCCCAATTATTTTTAACTGTACTTGTTTTCTCTCATTCCAGGAAACAGTTGCCTCTTCTGGTATCGGACATTAAGGAATCCTGCTGCGTCCTTCCCCAGGAAAAGAGACTGACATGTGCACAAGAGCAGGTGAGGCTGCAGCTGTGTACGGGATAAATGAATCCCTAACATTTGGTCACTGTTCAGTTGTTATGCGTGTGCCCTCTGTGAGTAAGAGCCATTGGGTTTGATTTACTAAAGGCAAAACGATTGTGCAGTTGCTTCAGAGCTTAGTACATGAGGGAAGTCTGCTGAGTTCCCTCATCCAATCATGTGCATTCAAAAATGCTGTTTTTTTTTTTTAATTTTCTTTGCATATGATTGGGTGAAGCTTCTCCCCATTCACTAAGCTCTGAATCAACTGCACTTGCAAAGTGCACAGTCTATTATCCACCCCATTGTTTGAAGCTACAAGGTGCAAACCCCAGCCTTGCCTTCTTGCTTCCCATGTTTAAAGTGAAAGAAGCATTGTTCTTGGTACCTTATTTTCGCATATCTAGTTGTAGGATTTGTGTCCACTGCATTTATGCAGGTTCCTGGTGGGTGATTCTAATGACTACCAAATTCCATCAGATGTCAGGCCTAAAAGTGTGCATTGGGAAGAATGGCAGGGCAATGCAGTACAGTGTGCAGAACCATGTCTGCAGTGATTTGACTACAGCTGTTGCTTGGGCTCTAAGGGTTCTCTCCAGCTCAGAGAGGAAGAAAGATGCCTGCTAAACACACTTGGCCCAACAAATTATTGTTTTTTCCAGCATTTTTTTTTTTTTTTTTTTTTTTTTTTTGCTGCATGTTTTGTGTTTTGTTTTTTTGCTGCACTTGTCAGCTGTGGGGCAAGGGGGTAGCTGAAGACAGACCTTCCTCCTTGTTCCCCAATAATTTGCTGGGTGCCAAGTTTGGGTCCCATGTGAGGACCACCCCTGTGGTGGGTTCTTCTGGGCTGCACTAGGCAACTGTAACAGGATCACTCCACTTCACACACATACTCTCATGCCATTTTCACCAATGCCCTGGGACAAGGCCGAGGTTGCCGTCAGGAAGTACTTGACCTTAAAGCGGAGCTCCACCCAAAAGGGAAGTTCCGCTTTAAGCCTTTGCACCCCGCTCCCCCCCATTAAGGATTGGCACCTTTGGGGAGCAGGGGGAATAGGTACCCAAATTTGACAGGTACCCGCTCCCACTTCCGCTGCGATTGCCTAGGCAATCTAAAGCGGAAGTCGTCCTCCCCCCTTCCCTCCCCGTAGTCTTCTGGGACATGTGACACAAGACTACGGGGCCATTCACAAAGCGCAGTGCTTCTCGCACATGTGCAGTGGGCACCCGGCTTTGAAGCTGCAAACTGTCACAGCTGGGTGCCCATACTGAAGATGCCGGCACCAGGGAGAGAAGATGGCTGGTGAAGCCAGCGGTGATGAGGACACCGCGGGACCGAGGGACAGGTAAGTGGCTATATTTTAAAACTCAGCAGCTACAGTTTTTGTAGCTGCTGACTTTTATTTTTTTTTTTTTTTTGGTGGAACTCCGCTTTAAGGCAGGCCTCTACTCTTAGAGATGAACGTACACCATACACTCACACAACTGTTCTCCACTTACTCTTGGGTCCCTGTGTAACTGTACATCATCAGAGTCGTTGGTTCGAATCCCAGCCACAGCACCACCTTCCTGGAGTTTGCATGTTCTCCCTGTGCCTGCGTGGGTTTCCTCCCACACTCCAAAGACATGCTGGTAGGTGAATTGGCTCCTGTCTAAATTGTCCCTAGTATGTGTATATATGAATGTGAGTTAGGGACCTTAGATTCTATACCCCTTTAGGGTTAGGGACCGATGTGAATGTAAAATATATATGTAAAGCGCTGCATAAATTGACGGTGCTATATAAGTACCTGAAATAAATAAATACATCTTCCCAATGTAGTTTGCAATTAGGCGGGTCCAGCCGAACACTGACCCCAGCCACCTGTCCAGCGTTTCCACTACCAGTCCTGATAGCAGCATGGAACCCGGCCGTACATATAGCACGAGCTCCAATGTGCACTTGACTTTAACTCTTGAATTTCCATACAGGATAGGGACCTCTGCAGTGCAGTTCCTCTCCGGTTGCTATGGGAGAAGAAGGAATGCAGCGCAGGGAATGCCGACAAAATCTCCCTTGTGGATAGAGGCAATTCCACCCATAACAGGACCACATTTTGTACAGGCTGCTTACTGAGTGTACCTTCGTTGCACATGGCAACCACATGTATACCTCGTACTAGGATGACTCTGTACATGCCGACTCTTCACACCCCATGTGCTAGTGACTCAAACCTTAGACTGTAGGTGCCAGTTACTTGCATTACACTCCTTTAAAAAACTTCAGAGCAGGCAGAAGGCAACGTTTTAACACTTTACTGAATAAGATGCCAAAAAGGTACAAGGTCTAGCCAAAGAACAGTCTTTTTCCTAAGTCCCTAATCCTACTCAGGCTATGTGCTGCCCTGGCATACCTGCAAAGCTAGTGTCCATGTGCATAAAGGTCCATTAGTGGCATTCCCCAATGGCTGGTGTCTTCGGGGCAAACCCCAAGTTGGATGGCTCTCACATCTTTCAGGCTTCTTAATGACTGATGGACTAGCAGCAAGGCTCTCCGGCTACTGACATTCGACCTCTTTCCTCCGGACCAATGTCCCCTGTTATATACACAGGATCAGTGGGTTGGACCCAAACTTCCTGCCAGAACCAAAAACCTGGGAACAGAATTGACTATCACCCTCTCCTCCGGGCAGCACCTAACTAATTCTGACCCACTTACACACTTGATATGCATCATACAAACAATATAGTGAACCGATGTTGAAGATTTGCCACATGTGTGCCAGAAACAGGAAAATCCTGCTGCATCTTGAAAGCCCTTTTTGTGTGGATTGCTTTAAAAAAAGTCCTGGATTCTTTCTTGGATACACAGAATATAACTGGATACTAACATTTTTATAGGTAAAGTTGATCCAGGGAATATCCGATTACCTCTCGGGGGATCAGGAAGGAATTTTTTTCCCTGCAGGAGCAAATTGGATCATGCTTTGCTGGGTTTTTCTTGCCTTCCTCTGGATCAACTGTGGGTATAGGATTATAACTTTTTTTTTTTTTTTAATGGTTGAACTGGCTGGACTTTTTGTCTTTTTTCAGCCAGATTAACTATGTAACTATGTGTGCTGAATGCCAGTTTTTTACGTTTATAATGGGGCTAATGCACTGCAGCTGCAAGCCAAGTGTTTGGCTCGAACCTGCTGTGTGGCTCCATTGACTTGAATGGCTGAATGTGAAAAGAGATTCCTGTCAACTCAGCATGTTTCATTGAATTTGTAGCGGCGGAGACATGAAGTACCCATAACTGCTACATGTGAACAGCCTCATCAAGCTGTTATTTAGCCTTTAGATGGCCAGCAAGGGGGCAGTAAAAATGAGGCTCAGCTGTCTGTTTTACTTCCCCCGTGCTGCCCATGTGAACATCTGCTAAACAAAGAATCTGAGTCTGGCTGAGATGCTTTAGGAGCTGTCCCTAGGGGATATTCTACAAAATGTCAGATTTGATGTAACATCTGTGTGTGATTTAGTAAATATTACCAGGGCTTTTTTTTTTCAAGGGGAACACGGGGGAACACAGTTCCTGCACCTCCAGCACTGAAAGTATGTAATGGCAAGGAGTGCTGAGGTGTGCTGGAGGGTCTATTGATGCTGACTGATGGGGTATCTATTGTCACTGGAGGGGATCTATTTTTGCATGGTGGTCTATTTGTTTCTGGGGAGGTCTATTGTTGCTGGAGACTACCAATTTTTTTCTTTGTATTGTTGCTGGAGAGAGATCTATTGTTACTGGGAAGGATCACATTTTGAGGGAGGGGTCTATTGTTGCTTGCTGATGGGAGATCTGTTGTTGTTGCTTGGGATCTATTGTTGCTGGGGTGGTATTTTACTGTGGGGGTCCATTGTTGCTAGAGGAATCCATTGTTGCTGGCTGATGGGAGATCTGTTGCTGCTGCTTGGGATCTATTGTTGCCGGGGTGGTATTTTACTGTGGTGGTCCATTGTTGCTAGAGGAAACTATTGTTGCTGGGGAGGGGGGGGGTTGTTGCTGGCTGATGGGAGATCTGTTGTTGCTGCTTGGGATCCATTGTTGCTGGGGTAGTATTTTACTGTGGGGTCCATTGTTGCTAGAGGAATCCATTGTTGCTGACTGATGGGAGATCTGTTGCTGCTTGGGATCTATTGTTGCAGGGGTGGTATTTTACTGTGGGAGTCCATTGTTGCTAGAGAAAACTATTTGTCAGGGCTCCAGGGTATGACCAGAGGTATGTGAACTGACGCAGGGAAACGCAGGCTTCAGATAAGTTATAAACAATATAATTTATTAAAGACTAACAATACAAACATAAACGCAGTGCAATACTAAAACATAACACAGTGCAAACGAACCAAACAAAACCACCCACAGATAACAGTACATACAATGCAAGCGTCGTCAGGCAGGCCGGGTCAATAACAATCGGGCAGGTAGGTACAGGGGGTCAGGCAGAGAATGGTCGGGGTCACAAGCCAGGGATAAAACAGGAGAAGTCAGCAGAGGTCCGGATCAGGCAGGGTCAGCAATGAATCAGACAGGGACAGGGATAGGAACAGGAATGCAGGCACAAGATACAGGGCCCAGGAAACCACACACCAAGGCAGAGTCTGCAGGTCTGGCCATCCCTTAAATGCACCGGTATAATCAACTTCAGGTGTTTGGCTGGCTGCAGGGTTGAGTCTCTGATTGCTGGGAGCACCCGCTGGCCAGCCCTGGTACTGCAGCCCACAAGGCAGGTGAGTCCCACCATTACTGGCAAGTCCATTCCTGACACTATTGTTGCTGGGGGGGGGGGGAATTGTTGCTGGCTGATGGGAGATCTGTTGTTGCTGCTTGTGATCTATTGTTGCTGGGGTGGTATTTTACTGTGGGTGTCCATTGTTGCTAGGGGAATTTATTGTTGCTGGGGAGGAGGGGCTGGCTGCAGGGGATCTATTTGAGGCAGCACAGTGGCTAAATGGTTGGCACATTTGCCTGGCAGCACTAAGGTTGCTGGTTCGAATCCCACAGCACCACCTGTCTGGAGTTTGCATGTTCTCCCTGTTCCTGCGTGGGTTTCCTCTGGGTACTCCGGTTTCCTCCCACACTCCAAAGACATGCTGGTAGGTTAATTGGCTCCTGTCTAAATTGGCCCTAGATATGTATGAATGGAAGTTACGGACCTTAGATTGTACGCCCCTTGAGGGTTAGGGACTGATGTGAATGAACAATATATATGTAAAGCCCTGCGTAAATGGACGGTGCTATATAAGTACCTGAAATAAATAAATTATACTGATTTTCTTGTTAACAAATTCCATACAAAATGACACTTGGCTCTGTATTCTCTAAAGCAGGGGTGTCAAACTGGCGGCCCTCCAGCTGTTGCGAAACTACAAGTCCCATCATGCCTCTGCCTTTGGGAGTCATGCTTGTAATTGTCAATCTTGCAATGCCTCATGGGACTTGTAGTTTGGCAACAGCAGGAGGGCCGCCAGTTTGACACCTGTGCTCTAAAGGGAGTGGTACTGAGAGGTGGGTAGGTGGTGGAACCAAAGGACGATGCTTGAAAGTGGGTAGGGAGGCGGAAACAAGGGGTGACTCAGAAGGGTGGGGGGGGTTCCTGCACATATTCTCTGAGAACGAAAAGCCCTGAATGTCACTATATGTTAAACACGGCTATAATCACTTAACGTGCTAATCTGTGCCTTATGGTTCTTGTTTATAGAAAGAAATATTCATGAAAACCCTGTGCGGCCCCAAAATGAACTCTTGGAAGGACACTCAGAATTGCTGCCGCAAGGACGAGCTGGAGAAGGAGGGATGTTTCAACGTTTACCTGCAGAACGTCACCGTGGCCATCTCACATAGAATGCATAGCATAAAGCTGGAATAGGACAATAGCAGCTCAACTGCAGCTGACCACGTGCCCAGGCGGGTAGCGGCTCTGCACCCAGACCTACATGCATCAAATTCCACTATGTAATATATGCCACGAATCTCATTTAACCTGGGAGAGTCTATGTACCATGGGGGGAGCGTTCTTCATAACCCTTACACAGAAGCCTGTATGTAGTCTGCTACTGCTTGTAGTAAAGCAAGTCACCATTGTATAGAACACGTAAGAATGGATTTACTAGTCTTTGCATTACATTGGCCCTACGTGGCTCCCAGACACATCTCTTGAATAGGTGGCAGTATCAATTGCATGGCTGGTGATGAGAGGGAAGGGAGGCTTTTGCAAGATGGTGGGGATAGACAATCAGTAGTGCCAGCCTTGTTCAGATGCTCACTTGCAGCTCACTTTAACCACCAAAGACCCGGAGTTTTTGTCTAACCATGGAACCCATCCTCTACGCATTTGCTTGGACATATATCCAGGGGCCCTGCCTAGTCAGTCTATCTAGAGGCCCAATGTTTCGGTTTTGTTTTTATCCAAAGATCCCATGTTTTAGCCATGGATCTAAACCACCGATACTAGACATTCTGTCTTTGGCTGTGCATAGGTTGAGTCAGTCTGAGACCCTATACCATTTACCTCTACAGAGGTCCTAGGCATGTGCCTAAATCATCATAAATACAGCATTAGAGGGGTCTGTGAAAAAGCTTTCATAATATACAGTAAACCTTTCCAATGATTCCTAGTAGCATCCCTTAAACCTTGGCAAGACTGTTGGCCAATGTCAGCACATAAATAAACGCCTACCACTAGACTTTTTTTTTTATTTGCCATTGGAGTTATGGGTGGGTGCCTTTGGCCCGCTTATAAAATGGCTTCTTCTATGTCCCTCCTCAAGAGATCCATGCCCTGATCCCCCATACTGCTGAGCAAGTGAGACGACTTCTACTTTTTTCTCAGCTTTAAAAAAAAACAAACAGCAGAGGGCAGCAGAGTCCCTTGTAATGGAAGTAGAGGGGGGAAGGGGGCAGGGAATACAGGAGGAAAGAACTCTCCTCTGGAGTCTTTGAAGGATAGAAGAAGCTGGTGGATAAAAAAAAAAAAAAACTTACCCTGCTGCCATCTACCCAAAGCTGTGATGTTCTTGGTGGGTGGACTCACCCTCTAGAGCCGGTCACACATTACAATCTGCTTGTACAATTCCTTTAAATTCACCAACTGTATTGTGTCAGAACCCGTCTAGTCATTGCGTTTTAATCTTTCATTGGTTGGGTAGGATCTTGTATTTAGATAACCATCAATAAATTTAAGAAGGTTCTCCAGTCACATTGTAATGTGCACAGCCAGCTTAAGGGTGGAACTTTTAAGTGCCTTTCATATAGAAAATATATTTTCTGCATTTTCTGGAGTGACCATATATTCACTATCACTGATGGCTTTAAGTTCACTTTTAAAAACCTTTTAGTTGATATGGAGATTTGAAGTAATAAAATAAAAGTTATTTTTGTATGTATAAATGCAGTGGAAGAAAAATAAAAATGTATATAAGCCTCATTTGTGTCTATGTTGACTTTTATGACTACATGTGTATCCTCACCCGCAATCTGAGAACTCCTGCTTTCCTGTATCAGAAGCCAGGTAAGATATGTGAAATGGGGCAGAGAGGTCCAGGGGCCGGCGCAATGGCCAATCCATACTATGTAGTCGCTGGTATGCGGTTAGGATGACAATGGAAAAGGACTGTTAGGGAGATGACCCCAATTTTCTACCATGGTGGTTGCACAGTTCCCCCTCCTTCTGGAATTATCATGCAGGGTCGGTTTTAACACTTTTTATTGATTGTTTCCTGCTTCTCATACACATTATAAAAAGCCTCTTCTGGCCTCCATTCACACTAGTGCAATTTGTGGTGCTTCTGCCCTTGCGCTACAATGCATGACAATAGAAATCACATTCTTCTCTATAAACTCCATTCAGTTATGCAACAAGATGCAGTGTGGACCTTTGAAAAAGTGCAGATACTTTTTGGCCCCATAGACTTCAATGGAAACACAATGAAAATGCATGTACATGTATGTTGGCGTGTTTTTATGCATACCAAGCAGTCTCCTCCTAACAATATCTTCTCTAGTCAGGCTGCAGAGAGAGCAGGTCAGACCATGCTGGATGATGAAGAGCCCATGTGTTTGGACATTGCTCTACAATCCCAAGGACCAGACTGACAACTCATGGGGCACCCGGGCAATTGGGGATCATGGGACCCCTGTGTCCTTGCCCACACTCCAAACACACCCAAAAAAGCCTATAAAAAGGTACCAGGGGCATTTTATGGGGCCCCCTACTGACCCCGGGCCTTTGGGCAGTGCCCGAAAGGTCAGTCCGCCCCTGCCAAGGACAATGGTTAGAAGGATGGCTGCAAGCAAAAGAGATCATGGGATGACATTGCTACACACAGTTTCTCAATTAGGATGCCTAGCCAACTTCAACTGCTGCCAAAAAAAACGGCATAGAGGAACTTACTGGTCCGATAGCACGACTACGCTTCAGAACACAATGTGGATCAAGGAGCCAGCAGATAGAAAGAAAAGGACACCTGATATCACAGAAGATGGTGCCGGTCTTCAGGAGAAACAAAAAAAGGCATGAAAACACATCAAAGTGTGCAAACATACCCTAAAAAAAACACTGAATCCAGCTTCATTGTCTGTAGAGCCACAACAAATCACATCAGAGGACAGCTGTTGGGGCTGCTAAGTACGATAATGCATTTCTGACTTCATCGAAATATAAAAAAGCTGCTGCAGGATAAGATAATAAAAAAAGTAGTACTTTTACACCACCAGAGGGCAAAATCAGATGTATGGTGAACGGTAATATACTTTTCCACCACTGGAGGGCGCCAACCGTGTGGTGACCTGCAGTAACTGCAATATAGTTTTCCACCACAAGAGGGCGCCTTCAGACAAATGCTAAACTGCAATACACTTTTCCACCACTGGAGGGCGCCATTAGATGTATAGTGACGTGCAGTAACGGCAAAATACTTTTCCACCAGCGGAGGGCGCCATGTATGGTGGGAACTACAGTGGCTGCAGCAATATACATATTCACCACCAGAAGTCGCCATCAGACAGATGGGGAAAGGAAGTCAACTGCAGTAACTGCATCATATTTAACCACCAGAGGATGCCATCTTAAGCATGGTGAACTGCAGTAGCTGCAATATACTTTCTCACCACCGGAGGGCGCCATCAGACGTGGTGAAATACAGTAGCTGCAAAATACTTTTTCACTGCTGGAGGATGACGTCGGACAAATGGTGAATTGTATGAAAAAAAAACAGCACTAATATCAAACCTAGAAATCAAGAAAAATCCAATGATTCTAGAACAGTGAATTTTCATATAGTGAATGTTGTACGTTTACTGTCATTGTATGAAATTCACTTTACTTTTTACTTTATTTTAAAATTGTATTATTTATTTGTTTTTTTTTTCACATTTTACCGATTGTATTCACTCTGTGAAAATTCACGGTTATATAATTATTGGATTTTTATTGATTTCTAGGTTTGATATTAGCGCAGTTATTTTGTTTTTTATGTTTGTTCACCTGGTAATACAGTGGTTAGTAGCTGCTTTATTTTTTCTTTTTGATCTTAGTGCAGTTGTATTTTTTGTTTATTTATTGTAGTCAATTACTGTAGCTGCAATATATTTTTTAACCACGACAGGGCACCATTAACAGGCAGTAAAATACAGTAACTCTAATATACTTTTCCACCACAAGAGGGCGCCATCAGAAAGCTGGTGAACTACAGTAGCTGCAATATAATTTCTTTACCATCAGAGGGTGCCATCTGACAAATGCTGAACTGCCATAGCTGTAATGTACTTTTCCACCATCAGAGGGCGCTGACAGATGGTCAACTGCAGTAACCGCAGTGTACTATTTCTCCACCAGAGGGTGACATCAAATGAACTGTATTTGACTGCAATATCATTTTTAACCAGTAGAGGTCACTATCAATGGAAAGGTAAACTGCAGTAGCTGCTATATATATATTTTTTTTTACCACTAGAGGGTGTTATCAAGTGGTCAGCGAACTGTAGTCAAACTATTATTGCTGCCTGCAATATACCTTTTCACCAATAGAGGGCGCCATCTGACATCTTGTGAAGTACAGTAGCTGTAATATATTTGTTTACAGCAAGAGGGTGCTATTAGATGATAAACTGCAGTAGCTGTAATATATATTTTATCCACCAGAGGGTGCCATCAGACAAAAAGGTGATCTGTATGCATCTGCAGTGGCTGCAATATAATGTTTGTCCAGCAGAGGTCGCCATCAGCCCATGGTGTATCCCGGCACTCTCCCCGGATTGGCCTATTCAGAGGTCATTTCAAGGAGCTGAATATAAAGTCCAAACTGCAGCAACAAGCAGAATTCCTCGCTGTGAAGACACCCCCCATACATGGCGACTTGCTGGGATCACTGAATACGCTGATCTGTACACACTGGGAACTTGCTGGAACTGAGCTGGGAATTCTGGGATTTCTCACCAATTGCTGGGAGATTCCTGGAATCAGACAATTCAATTGTCTATAATCATGCAGTGTGTGTGACGTCATTCCTGGGAGGGATGGGAGCTGTGCTCTGTGCTCATTGGCTGCCTGGAGAGGAGGCGGGGGGAAGGGCTATCTGCATTAGCTAGCTCCCGCCATATACCTGTGCAGAATGGTAGATTAGGTATATGTGTCTATCTACCTCTCCTCTGAAGAGTGATCTGCACTTGGATCGCTTTTCACAAACAATGGAAAGGTGGCCTTTTATTGACCCCATTTTTGGTTACAAACTCTGCACTGGTGTTTGTTGTGCTTCCCCCTGTCACTCGAATGGGTCGTGTTCAGCGGGCTAGATTCATGTTTGGTCATTTTTGAAGCAGGCATGAAGTAAAGCATGACAACTGCAGCATGTAACGCTCCATCCTCTCCCT